TTCAAGCAACTTAAAGAAGTCCAGATGCTTTACTTTGCAAGCTCCTTTGGGTACAAAGTTTTGTGTATCCATCACATACTGGGTAATAAGACTGATAACTCCTCACTTTAATTCATCAGTTGTACCTCAACTGAACATGTGGACAGAGCAACTGGCTCAAGTCACTTCAAATGTGGTACAAGCAAGCAAACAAATGACCTTTCCTCTCATATACTGCCAGATGCTGGTTTGTGAACAGGACTTTCATGGTCTTAAAAGCAACACAAAAGTACAAGAATTATTGTGTTCATCCAATTTTATTCATTCAAAATTTAAAGAAATAGCTTTTTTTCTACTTTAACAGAATAAAAACAACTCGGGGAGATCTCACGTGTAAAACTAGTAAGATTTAATTCAAACTGACAATAAGTGAGATACTTTATATATAATCTGTATTATTCTGCAGGTTCATATCTATAAAACATAAAAACAAAAAAATTCATAGTTTAAGGTTGGTTAAAAAAAAATCACAGTATACAGTACATAGATTCCTCCCACAATTTGCAAAGAACTAAAACGATGTACAAACAGAGGTGACAGATTAAAGGAAAGGCCAACTTTAAGCCCTATGTAAGGTGTGGCATTCATTCATTCATTTATTCTACAAGTCTGTTTGGATGACGGTGCCGGAGAGCCCCGTCTAACTTATCAGTCTACAATCTCCCATAGGTGCTGAGATCTGGCGACTGTGAACACATGACAAACATTATTAACGATTCAATGATCCCTCGTGCCCTGTGGGATTATCATCCTGGAAGAGACTGCTCATATGATGACAGAAATGCGTCACCACAGGATAAGCTGTGTAGCTAGTCGCCAAGGAAAAGTTCTATTTTGCAGAGAGACAAGCAGACCTAAACATATCAACAAAGCACAGCAAAGCCTCCGAATCCACCCCACTGCAAGGATGTCAGGCATTTGAGTTTTCCTTTAATTTGTCACCTATCCTCTGTCAATGTAAAGCCAAGAATGCAAAAAAAAAAGAAAAAACAAAAAAATGAACAAATCACTGTTGGTAGCCACTACAGTTGAGGAGGTAGCTTCCGTAGTTAGCATCCCATTCTTGATTATCTGTGTTCAAATAATTTACAGACAGACACAAAAACAAATAACAATAATCAAAACTACACAAAAAGAAAGAAAGAAAGAAAGAAAGAAAGAAAGAAAGAAAGAAAGAAAGAAAGAAAGAAAGAGATGCATACATTTTCACCACGTGGCACATCAGACATCTCAGTCAGCGAGACAATAAGTGAACTTATTTACACACTCAGTTGTCTGGTGTGTGAAAACAGAAGATAGGAGTCGAAACGCCGAAATTGAAAGTTGCAGTAGAAGAACACAAGAACTTTTTATTGGTGGAAGAAAATGTTTCCCTACATTGCCTGAATTCCAAAGCGCTCACATGACGTGCACTTGTGAATACATGCTCAGAGGGTGTATCCACCTCAATGTGTACAGTCATGCTCTAGCACAACACCAGCCAATCCCTCGTCAAACGCAGCTTCACTTAGGTCAGCTCTCAGGATGGAAAGACTTACATTTTACTTTGAAGCATTAAAAAATGCTTTTCTGATCAGCTAGACGGACGGGACTCAGTATAACTTAAGCTGATAGTGAGTCTCAAACAGCAGAGTTAAAGTAGTCAATCTGTTATAGATAAATCTTCCTTTTCGTTTTAAATCAAGGCCTTATTTTCCTTTTTTTTTGTACCATCACATATTTGCTAGTCAATCCATCATATACAGGAAACACACAGCCTGCACACAAATACCTTTTAATACAAGAGCACACTGCAGATGCTTGTCTTTAAATATCTGTGGGTGACTAACAACCGCCCCCTCGTCCATTTCATACTTATTGGCAATGCTAATGCACCATCTTGTCAACTCAGCTGGCTGCCAGTCTTGTGTAGTGTTCAAATCACATGAAAGTGAAAGCAGTATTACATTCATGTTTTTGTCTTGGATGATATTCATGGTTTTTTTTTCTTGCTCATGAGCCAAAATCTGTTTAATATGTATACGACTTCAATCAATAGTATATAAAAAGCAAGTTTTGGCTGCTCCATTGCCACAAGGGGTCACCACAGCAGGTAGCTCTGCACTTTTTTGTAGTATAACCAGCATAAATGTAGCTGATTTAAATTCGTAGACTGTTTATTGCCTTTTTTTTGCAACATATATGTGAGTTTCCATGCTCTGAAGTAAATCCAGGGTTGTAAATGTTTGCTAAACATAGAGCTAGAGCAGCAGGTGGATAAAAAAACGAATACAAAAGAAAAAGCCTGGCTAAGCTAACAAGCTGCTGGCTGTCATCTTACCCTAAGCCAGTGGTTCCCAAATTTTTTTTGCTAGGCCCCCCTTTGTTTTACAACATAGGTGTCAAACTCTGGCCCGCGGGCCAAATTTGGCCCGCAGCCTAATTACATTTGGCCCGCGAAGCCATACCAAATTACTATTAGAGCTGGCCTACTGGTATTATACAACTAATATATATATTGTTTAGTATTAAGCTTTGCTTGTTCCATATTCAGTTTTTCAGCAAAACTTGTTTGAGTCCATAAGAAAAGATTCATTCTTATATCTGGAGGAAGATTTTTTTTTCAATAAATATTAATGTTAGCCCGCGACTTTGTTCCAGTTTTGAATTTTGGCCCACTGTGTATTTGAGTTTGACACCCCTGTTTTACAAGAAAAATGTTCGTGCCCCCCCTCGCACGCACACGCACAAACACATCCTCCAACCACACACACCCTTATTTTGCTCCATTGCGGTTTATTTCACACCTCAAACATTTAGTAAACAATTAAGCAAATACAAGTAATCTGCAATAAATTACAGGTAGTAATAAAATAAACTACTAACTCTTTTATGTTACATCCGCACCTACACGGGTATTTTTGACAACGCAGCTGTTTCGTCCACACGTAAACTGCAGTTCGAATCACCGACTTTTTAAAACTCCTTTTTTGCGTCTACCTGTTTACGAGGAATACAGAGCTCGTCACGCAGCGTCAAAGGTATGTGCCTTTTTCACGTCACGCTGTGCGCCACGTTATTGTTTACATGAGATGAATTGCAGAATGGCAGATAGTCAGATTAACAGTATTTTGTCTCTATCTGCAGGTTTTACATGCTTACATATACACACACAGTTACTGTCCCTCTATTTAGAAAGGCAAAGGCGTCACGGTGTAATTATTTTATGTGTAGTTGTTTTTTTCCTGTGTAATAATATTCAACATTGCTATCAATACATTTTTCAAAAAATGCCTCTCTGTGCAAAATGGGTTTAAAAACATAAACAGCTGTGGGATCCTGTTTGTCCGTGATTTGAACAGGGGGAACAAATCGTGGCAGGATCAGCCTGATATTATTTGTATCCCGCTGTAACTTTACTATATAAAGATCTAACATCTCCAAAATGTCAGGAGTAGTTAGTCATTACAAGTGTTTGTGAACTAAAAATCACGAATGTGGGATGCTGTTTGTCCGTGATTTGGAGAGCCCAGCGCTGCTCCCGACGAAGGGGAAACCAATTATGCAGGGGAGACCTACCTTGGCAACTACCTTGGAAACATATTCAGCTATGCTTCATCTCCTGCTTTGCGTTTCTGTGGCTGCCCCGTGCTAGCAGTGTCCATGCGTTTTGTTTTTCCCCCCCTTTTCATACCGCGCCCCCCTGCAATGGCTCTGCACATTGCACTTTGGAAAGGTCTGCTCTAAGCAAACAAGCACATTTCCCAAAATATTGGTTTATTCCTGATATTTAAATGATTTCTTTTTTTATTATTATTATTCATAGGATTCAATTTTTGAGCAGTTTATGCTGCATTCAGCACCATTAACAATCACCCTGTAGGCCACAACCAATCTGAGTATCAGGCCTAGGCAGATCTCATTTAAGTGTCATTGTACTGAAAAGGCTAACAGCATGCATCGCTCTGTAATTTAGCAAACAAATAGCTCAAAAAGGAAAAACAAATATGAAAATAAGGCCCAGATTTTAAAATAACTGGAATTTTCCATAAGAAAGAGCAAAAGTTGTGACATGAACCTGCATGAGAGTTCTTGTTTAGATTTTTTGGTGAGGAAAAACTAATAAAGGTGCTGTTTTTTTGGTGAATGCTTGTTATTACACTGTATTTATCATTCAGAGGCCAGAAACTGTCTCCACCCAGCCAGAGACTTAATGCTACTCAAACAATAAATAATCTTTCACATCCGCTGCGCCTAGTTGTTGCTGAAACAGTGATATCTGCTACTTTTAATCACATTCTCTTAAAGTAAAGACATGTTTGTTTTAGACTATTTTAGACACTTTACAATCACACGCAGGCAGGCCAGAAGTTATTGCTGACTTTATATTATCCCCCCCGCTAGGTGAAGACCACCTGAAAGTTACATTCATACATGAAAGTTTAGCGTGATTATTACATTTGCTACATTTTTGTAAAAGAAACAAAAATTCTGAAATCAAAAGTTGCTGTGAAGAAACTTTAAAAATTGACAAGATGTATAATAATTAAAAATTTAAAAGCTTATAAGTACAGGTGAAACAGGGCAAAAAAATCATTAACACATACATGGAGGCTTGCAGACGCAGGCACCGGTGGCAACATTTTCCTTTGTGAGATCCTTTGTCGACCAGTTTGTGATGCAACTTTCTTGGTTCAGGTCTCCTAGAAACTGTTTCTCAGTTCAAAAAACCAAGTTCCCTTTAAATGATTGGCTGTGTCTGTTAACACAGTTATTAGAAACTAAGTGCTTGCTGAATCGTAGGGTAGTTGGCACATTTTGCTGTTTGATATAAAAACGTTTATTCTTGTAGCATCCAAGTTCACATGACACAGATGCGTCATTAGTCCTTGACTCGAGGTATGTTGTATGAGTAGTGTACAAGAGGAAGGCCTCTGCTCTGACAAAAGCAAGCTCGGCCACACGCCTGAATCTGGTCTGAGCTATCTGACACAAAAGAGTCCCCCTCGTCTGCGTACTCAGACTGTGCAGACGGCGTGCTGCTGTCTCCCCAAAACCCCTCCGAGCGCTGGTATGCCGCAGCTCCAGCCAGGAGGGTGGGACAGCTGTGGGACTTGACCAAGTGTCTACAGACTGTGGAGGACGAGGGGGAAGAGCAGGTCCTGGCACGCAGTGCTGCCTCACACTGCTCACAAACAACAACCTCACCGCAAAGCTGAGAGTACATCCCACAGTCAAAGCCTAGGTGTGTGGAGGAGCCCCCGTCTGTGAGCTCAGACCCTCCGCCACTGTCATCTCGGTGACCTTCTGTGGTGGTCTTCATCTCCCTGGTTGAACTTCTGCGACTGCGTAGTCTCAGCCAGTCCTCCCTGAAGGCTGGGCTGAAGAACACGTACAGCACTGGGTTCAGGCAAGCGGGCAGCGGGAAGAAGATGAGGGTGACGGTCTTGGCAATCTCCGGGCCACCAGCTGTGGAACCAGTCAGGAGGGGGGCAAAAGAGAACGCCGCCACAGGACAGAAGAAGATGCAGTTGGTGAAGATGAGCCAGGCGATGTGTCTCAGGGCACCCGTCTGCTCCGGATCTGCCAGCTCCACCCTGCCCAGTGTGCAGTACAACTGGGTGTACACAGCTGCGGTGAACAGGTAGGCCACGGCGTTGAGCAGCACCAAAATGACCGTAACACTCAAAGCTGGACGCTCACCGCCGGCAAACGGCAGGCAGAGAGGAGACGAAGACTGATCACTGGAGGTCACGAGAGGCAGGCAGGCCCCAGCGGCGGCCAGCAGCGCCAGCAATCCTGCAGCGAGGCTGAAGCGTCGATCTCCTCTTAAGCACCCGCGACGGCTGCTGGCACTCCTCCTGGGCGACATCATGACCTTCCCAAGAATCATCCGCACGGCCACACTGCGCTCCACGGCTGCCAACGACAGCAACAAGACTGACCACTCTGACGAGAAGACGGCCAGAACTCCTGTGATCTGACAGCCGGGTCCCATCTCCCACCACACCCCAAACTCAGCGAAGGATCCCCACGTAGCAACATCGAGCACAGTCAGCACGCCGACGTACAAGCCCGTAAGCAGATTGGCCAGAGCCAGCAGCCCCATCAGCAGCCTGGCTGGAGAAAGAGACGGGGTCGGGCAGTGGGAATGGGCAGCAGCTCGATGTGAGGGAGAGAAGGTGGCCACCAGCACCAGGCTGTTAAAGACCAGCGACACCAGGCAGATGAACCAGACTGTCAGACGGATCATCCAGTTACCCAAGAGGTGTTCACAAGGCTTGAAAGCTCCTGAAAAGCCAACAATATGACAAATTTAGTTATTATCTTTTTTGGGATTATTTCAAATCTTTAACACTGATTGATAAACACAAAAGCTGACTACCTGGTGAAGGTGAACAATGCATAACCATTGAGATTTTTTCCACATCTTCCCCACCTGCAACAAGAAAGAAAATGGATATACTAAGAGGGAAAAGTGTTTTGTTTTTTTTAACTCAATCCAAACCAGTAACATTGCTGTTTAAGCTCTCTGTGATACTTTCAATTTAAATGTAATTTACATTTTTTATATCTTTTTTTGGGGAATTTTACACACTCATGACAGCCAGGAAATATAGCACAATTTTTAATGTTAGTAAGATGGAGTTACACTAACACTGCAAACAATCTTTTTACTTCAATAACACATGCAGTTAACGTGTTCACCATCCCCACCTGCAGTTTTCTTCATGTGCTCTTTCTCAAAAGAAGTCGTTACTGAGTCACATCCAACGAATGCACAGCACTGGTAGGCGTAAGGGACAGAAATGGACCTTAAAAAAAAGAAAATGTTTATCATTTAATAGCACTGGCAGATTTAAGTGTCGTATATACATTTCTGGCCCTTCTGATTGCTTCCAATAGTAGTATTTAGATGTGGATTAGCCTCCTCATTCGTGGAAGCTGTTGTGTTTTCCTCAGTTTTTCTATACCATTGTTGATTTGTTTCTCTTTGCTGTACTGAGGGATAACTGTTCAGTTTATACTTGTGTGCACCATGTATGCTTTTCAGTTCTTGAAAACTACTTGCCCTCTTTGTCTAAGCATGCAAGTGTATTTTACACTTACATGTCCTCAGCCTACACAGCGTCATTCTCACCTGAGTTTAGGCAGGTTATTTGCAGTTAGCACATTTTTCATCTGCGGGTTCCCGGAGAGTTTCAGCTGACTGAGCGCGCTCAGTCCAGCTGTTGGAATCCCAGTGAGAGAGTTCATACTCAGGTCTCTGCAGAAATGATTGCACACAGACAGTTTAATTTTGTAGGGCACAGAGAGTGACACCAAACAGTGTGACTGAAGGTCCTACTCACAGGTTGGTGAGCGCCCTGAGGGTGAGGAAAGCATCTCTGTGAATAACTCGGATTTCATTTCTACTCAGGTCTCTGTGTAACATAACTCAGTGAATTCACAAATCAGGCATAAAAACATTTGTTTATATTGCATCAAGGAAGTGCATGACTAAGTGGACTTACAGTAAACGGAGAGCAGAGAGACCTTGGAAAGTGTCTCGGTTAATTTTTTCAATATGATTGTGCTGAAAGTTTCTGTAAATGGGAAACATAATTTTATCAGGTTATAAACAAGCAAACATTTCTTTAATCGCCTTATTTGTTTATTTTTTCTGCCTTTTAAAGCTTTCTTTTGTGTAATGGCTTTTCTATCTTCACTCACATCTCCTGCAGCTGGGTGCAGCCCTGGAGGGAAGGTAACTGTTTTATCTCATTGTAGGACATGTCGCTGATGGAGGAAAAGAAACAGCTTCAATAACTGCACAACTGGGACAAATTAAAATGAAAGAACAAAGACAAAAAGGTTGGACTGTTCCATTCAGTGATAACTGGTCTGTAAAAATGAGTGCACAGACCTTACTAAAACACTATGCACTGTTCGACCTACTCTGCTCTCTTTGTATTTTCCTAACGATCAATTACCTGCTGTAGGTAACATGAAAGAGAATGTTTCTTACAGCGTTCGCAGCACTTTGAGGTCCTCGCACAGATCAGTGGGTATGGATGATATCTTGGTGCCCGATAGGGTCCTGAATATGAAAAGCTACTCAGTCACTTCTGAAACACAAAATCGCACAAGCAGAGAAAGATGCCACATCTGAGTTATCTTACAGACTCTCAAGGTTGTTAGTCCATGTAAGGATGGGGAAGTCCTGCATCATACTGGCGCCACGCAACATCCTGAAAACACAAGTTTGAAGAATAGTAAAATCATTATTACAGAGATCAAAGTGTGAGATGGTGTGACTTAAATAAGACTGACTGACTCTTAGAGCACATTCAAATTGGCTTTTTCATATATTTTTATTCAGCACTAACATCTGTCAGGAGTTGAGCCTGACGGAGGGACTTACAGTGAGTGCAGGCTGGACAGGTTCTGGAAAGCTGACGCGCCCACGAACGACAGAGGGTTGTCATAAAGATGTCTGGGAGAGCAGAGGGGGGAGAATTCAAAGCAAAAGTCATTCACTATGCAAGAATGGCACCATCTTCTGGACATTCATCTTTCTGAAGCCTCAAACTTGTATATGGCGTATTTACAAAGTTAAGCTATGAGTGTGCCATGTCTGTTTATAAATGAGTGTCTGCAAGTCAGAGGGGAGAGTTGGACCTTACATGGTTTTCAGCAGGGGATTGTTGTGGAAGGCCCCCTCGGGTATGGAAGCAATATCATTGCTATGAAACCCACTAAAGAGAGAAGGTGGCAGTGTCAGTAAACTTTCCACAGTTCAACACGTGGCATACACATTACTTAATTTCACATACTCTAAGCCAAAGTTAAAATAAAAAAAAGACATAATGATTCTATCAGTGAGTGTCAAATGCTTTAAAAAAACTTTTATCAAAAAAACATGTTATCTATTTCTCTTTAAACATCATATCCAAAAGGTAAAAGCTCAGATATATAACGATGTAACAGCATTAAAGTCAACAGAATATTTTGTTTCTGTGTGTGACAAACAGAAACAGTCACAGAAATGAAGGTAGCTTAAAATAATTTCAGTATACATGTGTCTAATCCTCTAATATTTAATATAATTAATATTTTCCTCATTACACATCTGTCCTTTTTTAAACCAGAAAAAAAGGCAGCAACTTGCCTCAGTGAGGCATTAAAAGCTTCCTGGCTTTAGTAACAGTACAAAATGTCTTTCTCGGGCAGTAGAAATGGGGCAGTATACTCACAGCTCTTTCAGTTTGGGGAGGGCCTGTATTGCTTTGGGAAAAACCTTCAGGTTGTTGAAGTTAAGATCTCTAGACAGAGAGAGACACAGGAAATCAGTGCAGTTTCATCCATCCTGTTTCGCATCCAAAAATCAATGCAACATTCAAACAAGGACATCTACAATTAGGAGGAAAGACTGGTTTTGTGACTAAGGCCAGCACAGAGTCACGCAATATTGCGTGTCCCCCCCACCACACACACACATTTTAGCCAGAATCAAAGGAAAATTATCAGCCCTGTAAATATTTTATAAACACTTTTGTTAATTGGGGTTTCATGTACTCGGACATAACTGATGTTTTTGTTTATTAATGGTCACACATAATGGGGAAATGCATTGATTTCTGTCAAATAAGGTAACAGAGACTTATTGCCTCTAATGATCTACTGATCAATTGAGCCTGTTTCTTCCCCCAAAGGCCTAGCTCCAGAAAAAACCCCTGCTCGTTTCTCTAAATATAACAAAAGCACATTAATCTATTAAATATTAAAATACTGAATGCTTCCAAGTACACTGTGTTGTAAGAAACTCTTTAATAATTCATTTTTAATCAATTTATTACTCGGTTCATATTTTAAGCAAAAAAATAAATATTGTTGACAATATCCTTGTTCAAGTTCCAGAACTGAGATATTCAGTTTCAGTCATAAGCATTTTTCTTTGCTTAATAAACATATGCAATAACCCACAATGAGTCTGCCCCTGAATGTATGAATGAATGACTATTCAGCAAAAGCAAAGAAAGCCCTTCAAGTCCTTACCAAACCTTTCTGTCAGCAGCTAAACCTCCTGCCTCCACAGATATTACACACTTAAAGAAAAAAGATACATTAAAAAAACTGTTGAAATGTAATACTGCACTAGTTTTATAAGCTTACTTGTGTCCCCTGTGCTGTGTCATTGTGTCTGTAAATACCAACAATGGCTCAGAGCAAGTGCCACCAGATTATGTGTTGTACAGTAACCATTTGCCAGGAGGTACGGCTGTCACTGAAAGGTTTTTCATGGCTCTGTGGCAGTAGGAAGTGAACAGTGGGAGGGCAGATTTGATAAGCATCATGTACTTTGCTCTATTTATCCTAGAGCAATTAAAGGAGGAAGTGGACACAATGATGTCTGGAGGACTGAAGCACAGGAGGGTGGGAGCACCAACACGCACGCACGCACACACACACACACGCACACACACGACAACAATTACCATACTGCTGTGTACTTACAGCGTCTCCAGGTTTACAAGTCCAGAGAAACAGTTGTCTCCTATCTCGTTGATTCTGTTGTTGTGAAGATGCCTGAAAAAGTTAAAACACAGATCTGCAAGACCGTCGTACCAAAGAGAAATAAAATCATTCAATCATTCTTCGTGGGTTTTAATTTACTTTTTAGCTTTTGCAAAAATATCCCATGCATGATTTCTGAATGGCGCTTGTGAATCAGGTGTCTGTGCTGTATGTGTATATGCAAAGAGTCCTCCTCGCCTAATAGATTCAAGGTCTTTTCTTCCTGTTTATTCTGACGTGTTTATACTAACCCTGCAGCAATGCCACTCAATGCGTGTGTTCTTGAGCGTGTGTTTATGTGAACATATAACAGCAGCAGTGAAAAAAAAAAGGTCTGGAACAATCCCTTGGATTCGCAGTGCAACGCATTTTTGTACAAGCTCCTGGCAAAGGATGGTTTTAGGATTTCCCTTAATACATAAAACAACATAACTTCTGCATCACTGCTCAGCATCAAGCTCCTTTTACAAAGATTTTGCTAACATTGATTTGCGATGTCCAGTGCCTGTGGCTCGTTTCACTGCAAAAACGCCCTCGTGCATAAACACAGCAGAGAATGAGTAGCGACCTGTTTAGCTGACTTATTAAGCTGTAAGCTGTGGAAATAAACTATGGTATGTCTGTGTTTGGAGTTTGACCCGCAGTCAAGCTGAGGATACATTGATAGCTAAAGCTCAGCTCAAAGAAAGGTATTTTATGTTGACTTGTGATGACAGAATAATACAAATGATATATGAAAAAACACATACTATAGCTTACTTAACTCAGATGGGAACACAGGCAATACATTTAGATTTTACTAACATGATGTTAATTATACAGCCAAGTAGAAGAGATTTACCCATGACTCAGAAACTTAAGTACCTTTAAACTATAGCTAAACTCACCCTATAGAAAGTTAACATGTGCTGGCATTATAACCTGAGAATCGTCCTGATCTTATTGACAACCCACCCCCGAGGAGTTTCACTTTGGCATCTCCCTCAGGCCATGTGAATGTTTGCAGTCGCATTGCCTGCTTAATTATAGTTTTTCCAAAAAGTACACCAACAAGTTGTTCCTGCTGAGTTATTCTGTGTATAGTTCTATGAAAACTGCATGCAAAGGTCCTTTAGCTATCCTGGGGAATTTACTTTTATGGCAACTGTTTCACAGGCAGGCTACTTAAACATGATGTTAATAATTTGATATTTATACCAACTATCAACAGATCATTTATAGATTTACATCCATCTAAAGTTAAGGCACAAGGCGGTTTGGTGCCCTATGACGTTCATCATCCGCCCTGCACTCTGCAGCATTGGCCCGACTGGCCAGAAACAATTGTCAAGTACACTGTAAACATTTGCGCTCAAATGCTACTGTGCAGATTTTCATTCTAAACCACAATTAAACAGAAGCTTAATATAACTTACAGTACAACTAAACTGGTGAGGTTTGCAAAGGCGTTGTCTGGTATGTACAGGATGCGGTTAAGTGCCAACGTCAGAGCCTGAAGGTTCGCCTGGTGCCTCAGAGAACCGACGGGCACCTCCATCAGGTTGTTATCATCCAACCAGAGGTGGCGCAGCTGCTGAAGGCTTTCAAAGCTGTCATCTGGAACAGTTGTAATATGGTTGGCATCCAGGCGACTAAAAAACAGAGCAAATAGGAAACGCATTTGTACTTTGGATTGGATTTAATAAATACATATAGAAATTACATTGCAATAATGGCACCGTTACCTTCACCCTCTACATTTTCTTGAGCTTTTCTCTGAGCCCTTGGTATACATTTGTTATGCAAATATATATACAGTATATTAAGGCAGGGCAATATGGCCAAAAATATTTATCACAAAATATATTTGGAAATTTGCGATAACGATATAACTGACAATATAATTGACACTAGACAAAATACTTTACAACTCCACAACTTTATTAGTGCAAAAAACCCCATCAATGTATTTTCACTGAAACAAGCAGCTGTAAAAATATAAAAATTTAACAGTGCAAACGCAAATTCCTCACTGACAGTTTAACCAAAAGGCATTTCCAGTGAAAACTGGCCGACATATCCTGAGCATAACCATGTTTAATATCCACAAAACTTAAAAAGAGGTTATACACACACAATACGGTAATATTATGTTGAAGCACAGTACGTATCACTCCGCAAGGCTCCTGCCTACGATAGCCGTAATGCTCCGACAATCCATCAAGTGATGCTAAAATTAGCAGGGAAAAAAACAACGGAGAGCACGTCAGGGATGACGAGAAAGTGACAGGAGAAAATCCGTCCCGGTCAACCACCCAAACATCAATAACGGGAACCTTATACAGCGCTTCCCTATACACGTCGAACTCCCGCAGGCACAAAGAAATTACGAAGGCTATCACTTATCACCTGACCAAACATATGGCTCCCATCAACACTGTGCAAAACGAGGGATTTAGGAAAATGATCAACACCCTAGACAAACGCTACACAGTGCCGTCCCGCAACTATTTTTCTATTGTTGCACTACCTGCTCTATACACGCAGTGTCGAGCAGCGGTGGAGACGGAATTTCAAGCAGTACAACAACAAAACGTGAGACATTTGTTGTTTTTAGGTTTATTTATCGTTTTTATGTTCAGTCTCAACTGTTACGAAGTTGATGTGCAGTTAATAAGTGCAATAAATATTTATACTGGAAAAGAAAATCGTGAGAGAATCGTGATCTCAATTCTAAGCCAAAAAAATCGTGATTCTCATTTTATGCAAAATCGTGCAGCCCTATCGATCAGAGTGTGAATGTTAGACAGGAAGCACTTGCGCACAGTAAAAAGTGCTTGTGTGAATTAGGCAAGTAAGCGCTTTGATTGCTCAGGTAGAGCAGAAAAGCACTATATAAGAACCAGTACTTTTACTAATACTTACTACTTTATTTAATTGGATAGAAATTGTATTAAACACGTAAACATTCTGTTACAACCCGGCTTAAAAGCTGCAACATAAATATGGAGACTAATACCAGAATTTCATAGAAAAGGGGTTTTATTTTAAATTACATAACAAGTGGGGCGTAACACATTCATAACTTTACTGACAATAATGGAAATCTTTCTCTTTACTTTCTCTCGTTTTCTTAAACTATCCATGTTGTATATTAGGTGGTGTCAAAAGCAAATTACCTATATCATCATGTTTCTTTGGCATGTTCTATAGAACATAAGACAGGCCCTTTTGCCACAGTGGTTTAACTCACAGCCTACTTTTAACCCTCACTTCTGAGAAACAGTGAAACACCTGAAATTCTCCACGTCCCCACAAACTCGTAGCTAAGACATGAATGTTTATTTAGTAGCCATATATAGCAAACTCAAATTCTTTGTAGACAATTCACAGAATTTACATTTTAAAAAAGCAATATCTGCGTGTACAATGAATGGTCCAACAAGATCCTAAAATTCTGATCACTGACAGTTTTGGGATTAAAAAAAAATAAACAAGAAGGTAAAAAAAAGGATTTAAACAGTATTATGAATGCACAAGTGCTCTTTTCACCATAACCACGTTACGTTCTCCTGCTATCCTCCCTAACTGAGTGTCTCACCCTCCCTCAAAATTCCTCAAGTGTCTGGCCTGTAAGAAAAACAGACATGATTGACATTTAGCTCTCTCCAGGCTTTATACAAACCAAGTCCTTACTCTGCCAGTGCATAATACTTCAGCTACAGACCCTAAAACCCCAACAGAGAAAAGACATCTGTTAAAAAAGGAAGAAGAAAGCCGGAAAAAAGAAAAGGGAGGACATATGGAGGGATACAGAGGAGTGATTATAGCTGAAGGCAGAATTTTCAGCACATTTCTCCAGCTGGATGCATTCCTACTTTAGTCTCTGTCAAACTCAAAGGCACGGTGCTGGAGAGAGGTGGTGTCTCGAAGAAACTGGTATTTTGAAGTTGGTGAAACGACACTACATATGAGGGTTAATGGAAAAGATAATTGTGAAAAGGCCGATGCTTACAAGCAAACGTAAAAACTCCAGAAACAAACAGAAACGTTAGAAACGGATTGGCTGAATAAGACTCACCTACAAATACAGCAGCGGAGTGATAAGAATGTGATATGACTGAAAGAATGTTCAAATGCCTCGAAACAGATTAGGCAAATAAATCATTTCAACAATCACTCTCAACATTTTAGTTACTGTAAAATTGCTGTGTACAGTCACACATTAAACAGGAGCCACTATCTACAAGAACTTGGTCCACCTGGTGCGCAACATAAATGCAACTCCACCACACACTCAGGCATGAGACAACAAGGCTATACAGTTTACAGCACAAATGCTTACATCTAGAACAGTTATTAGAAAAACTCAGCACGCGTTTTTAAAGACTTGGACATAACTGATGTTTTTGTTTATTAATGGTCACACATAATGCTGGTTGTGCATTCAGCTAAATCCTAACGGCAACACATCTGCAACGTCAACACTAACACGATGAAGCTCAGGAGGTAAAGTGCTTACAACTGTCACTGTCTTAATTTTGCAGCTTAGTAAATAAATGTTTACTAGTTAGTACTGAACACACAATACATCCTAAATACTGCACAAGCTGAAAACCAAGATACTCAGTTATTCATTAGTTGCTGAAGACAACTTTTGGGAGTCAGTTTAACCGCACGGTAGTACTGTGAATCACATAGCGGTACTGCGAAAGTAACTGGGATTTATCATCTGACATTTGGGAATCTTTGTGGTAAATTTAAAAGCGATCCCTCTCATAGATGTTTACCACCAAAATTGTGGGCCAACTAATCAACACAGCAAGAAGCTACAACACAGCCCTCCCCCCAAAAATAATCCCAGTAAAAATCAGCGCAGCCGATTTTTTTTCCCTGTTTTTCACAACATGAAACTAAAAGCTCAGCTGCACAGTACAGACCCATTTGCATACATTTGTTATGCAAATTTTCAGCAGCAAATGTTATCGTTACATATCATAGTAGATAAACTGTCCTGCAGTGCTACTGTTGCTTCATTATCATCTTTGTGAGTACCCATCTTGGATGGGCTTGTTAGTTTGACGTTAAATTCCATTTCCACACCGTAAGTTGCTTAATACACTAAGAGTGCTTTGTTACTACAGTACATATTCCTAAGTACACACTTAAAACACATCAGTATCTGTAAATTCTAGAAGAAACAGGCTTTTTAGTTATTGATTGAGCCTCTCTAATAGAAACACTGTATGTTTATAGTAATAATAGCAGGACTTACAACAGCATCTCCACTTTTTGACCATTCACATTTTCCATAAGCAATCCAAAACAGACAGTTTTCAGTCCAGAATTGAGGCTAAACTTTATTTCCCCTGTGAGACCATGTTTGGAAGTTTACAACCTTTTATAACTAATCAAACAATATATCTAAACAGCACTGTAATACAATAACAAAGAACTATTACAATCTCTGGAGCAGGCCTCTGCATCCCTTCCTCCAAGGTTGATGCAGGAGAGGAAGGTCCACTTGAATCCTTGAAGGATTTTTATCTAGACAATACCCGGCACGTGCTTAAACATGCTGCATGTGTGTGTGTACGTGTGTTCATGCAAATGACTTACAGAGACTGGAGAGAGTGAAGGTTCTTCAGTGCCGAGTTTGGCACTGTCTTCAGCTGATTATTCTGGAGCATCCTGAGGACAAATTGGAAAAAATATATCTGAATATTTCAATTATTTCAACTCTTGTTACAAAATAAATAAATTCATTTCCTGAGGTTCCCGTCCGTACACTATCACGTGGCTTCACTTTGGCTATTATTACTCACTTTAGAAAACGGAGTTTCCCCGAGCAAATACAGACAACCTAAAGTCTACAAAATCTCCCACAACTTTTGTGTGTTTAATAAACTTAAAACAACATCACATTCCTGTCTAACAATAACTCTAAAGTCTAAAGTTTGCAAACAAATATGAAGAAACCCTGACCTGAAGTGAACATTAACTTAGTCTGCCAATATACAGCCAATTATTTTCATTTGTGTACTTATAAGTAACATGAATAAATCACTGGATCTGACATGCACATATAATGTTTCCATGTGTTTCTGTTTGCAGTTTCTATTCAAAACTTCCCCTGTATATCAGCAGGACTTTGAACTTTTGGCTAAGTGCACAATCTACAGGACTGTGCTTTGTTTGTCACTCCCTGTGTGCAAGCACACTAGGGTGTGCTGCCTGATGTAAATTTTGGAGTTCTAGCTTTTAAAGCAGAGCATGTACGCAGTTCTCTGTTGGGGATTCCCATATACACAGTCATAGTTGGGGAAGGGGTGGAAAACTACATTTAGTTTACACCAAGTATATGCCCAGCCTGTCAGTAACTGACACTGCCACAATGTTCCCGCAAACTGCAATATTTACTCTCTCCCCCAGTGTGTAGAAAACACTGTCACAGCCGTAAGTGCGTCTGTGTGTGTTTGCGGGGGTATGTGAGTGTTGAGATTGGCAGAGAAGGCAAATGCTTACAGGACTTTGAGCTGATGCAGTCCAGAAAAGGCTTCGGGGTGGATGAACGACAGGTCATTTCCTGGAAGTCGACTGGGTGAGAGAGAGAGTCAAACTTGTATTTAAGACATTTTTCAAATGATCAAAAGCTGCAAGAGGCATTTAAGCAAAAACAGAACAGAGTGTAAGAAAACTGCAGACTCTGTTTTATTTCTGAAGCTATGCATTCAGTTGAGGACTTCTTCATATCCAGCGTCTCTGCATATCATGTTCCAGCTCTCAGGGTGAACACGGGGCCTGGAGTGTCAAAGACATGCGTCTGTGCCCCTGGCCTGTTGTCACTTCATCTGTCACCCATGAGAGATTAGAGCTGTTCCTGGATATCCCCTGCTTAAATCCCTTTCTGAGCCTCCAAAGCATGACTATGAAGTGCTCTTTTTAGAGAGAGTGAAAAATAATTCACCTCTCTGAGGCTGACACAAGCAGAGTTATTCCCTTTGAACAGTGCTGCCTTGTTACATTTATCATCACACAGCTCCTTCAGAGCATTTATGAATAATTTGAGGCTAAGGGGACAACTCCCTTTCCTGTTGGAAACAGGAAATATATAGGAAATATGGGTGTAAATAAGCAAGGGACAGACTGACTGGGATACAGAGACCAAGTATCCTATCTAGTCTGAGAGATTAGCAACAGATTTATCACTCTGCAATGCGAGTCAGGCCAGGCTAAATTCCCTGCAACAAGAGCTGCTGGGTGTGAGCCTGAGAATCAAGGCTGAGTGTATTAGAAGACAGTTTATCCGACTTAAAATTTGTCTTTCTTTGCATGTCACGTGTTCAAATTTATTTGAGAGTTAGTGCACTTTAGTGCACAAATTTAATTGGTTGGATTAAGGAAGAGGTCAGGTCAGAAAGTTAGTAAACTCTACACATAAGAAGCAAAAAACACAATAGATTCAAATGTGTCCGCTCTCCCCCTTCAAGATCGTTTCCTTGTGAAGTCTTGCGTCTCTGTCGGCACTGCTGCAGATGTTGGAACAGTCTGCAGGAGTCTCGTGCTGACCACCTGCACATCCTCATTTGTCACAGCTTTAGCATGGCCCTTAAACTCATGCAGAGAGAAAACATTAACTTCTGTGTCAAACTGACCCAACCTTCATGCAGAAGACCATCAGTTGTGATACAAGCAGGGCTGGGATCCAGAGAGCAAATATCAGACTGGGTGCTTCTCATTTGATCATTGACAGGGATTGTGCACTACCCCCAGGCTTGTAAAGCCCTGAGGCATCTGAGGGAAAACCTTTGGCGGAAACTTTCTAAACCATGGCGTGTGCCATAACGTCATCGCACACTTTCCAAAATGAAATTCAAGTTCAAGGGTTTACATTTTGTTACTGGGGGAAATCAACGGTGCGTTGCAAATGTGCGCCTGCAAGTGGTCAGAACAGGATTTCTAAGAAGCGCTTCACATGAGCCGAGCTCATGGTGAAGTTTGAGCTGAGTAACAAACCTGTCATACATTTACTGTGGTGTTATACTTTTTTGTTATACATGTTCTTTAAACACTAAGCAGTTTTCTTATAGTTACATGTACGCATATTGTACCACAGATGATTAATACAGAACCTTCCTGAGAAAAAGATATTTTGTCATTATCTAAGTAATTTAGTGGTGATTTCTAGTGGTACAAACTGGATGCAACGGACAAAGAAACATCAGGTAACCTTGCAAGATTTGTACATAATGGGCCTTGTGCTGTAGATTAGCAAACTATATCTACAATATTAAACTTATTAAATCTGCTTTCTGTTAGAGTTTATATCTGTTCACATGAAAAAGACTTAAAAATATTACAATTTAATTGCAGAATACCATCAAGCCATTTTATGCATCACAGTAAATCAGGCACAGCCACTTTGCTGCAAGCTTATCAAGTGCAATACATGAAGCAGTGAAGTTCCTGGTCAGACAAATCAGACAGATTAAATATTCCTGCTTCAATAGTCAAATTGGGTCCACTGTTGACTTTATCACAAAATCAAAAAGCATGAAAAACATGTTTTCAATATTTGTTTCTTTCTGATTTTGGACTTGTATGATACGCATGTTAACATGACCTTAACATTTAGTATTAACTGTGAATGTTTGCCAGCTATTAGAGGCTGCTACCTAACACTTTGAGACAAACCCAAATATAACCTCCAAAGCAGAAGCCCGTAATTCACAACACCAACAAATCAACCAATAAATCTAAACATTTGTTTCACTTCCGACTTAAAGGTTGTCACAATGATGTCTTGCAACAGAATTTGGACTTCTAATTATTAAAGACCAGTCTGCAGGTATAGTCGTGACTGCAGCAAGTTGGCACACGCATAAAGACGCCTATAAATCAAACATGACGTCAATCTTGTCAGTAACTGTTGAGTCACTCTTGTTCATTTCCAACAGATAGTGACCAATGTGGCAAATTCGATCACACAACCCAGAGCTTGTGGTGACTGTCACAAGCCGCTAATTACGACGCGCAAACACAGTTTGACAAATCGTTCAGGTTTCTCAACATTAAAAAGGTTCCCCGCCTCTTGCATCTTTCAGCAAATTCAGCACATGTCCCCTCAGGGCTTTGATGGATTTCACTGAGGAAAGGCTAAATCCTTTCCTTGTGCAATACCACTCCCACAGGTCTGCCTCTGTCAACAGCAAATTCACTAGAAAATGCACAGTTTTGTAGCAGTAAATAAAAACAACACGATTACTTTCTATCTGGTAAACTACTGTGGGTAAATCAAAACAAGGACCCCCTCCCACACATGTGTAATGCACACCTGTTTGTACAACTATTAGTACAGTTACCTGTGATTATACAGGCCTGACGTCATTTCCTATCTACACACAGCAGACGCAGTCCTATGGTTTGGATTTGAACTCCTCTGGTTTATCATCTGATAGTGAACAATAACAATTTGAACGTGATCTGAGCCGTATCGTCTTCTGCCCAGCAATAGTGGCTGGAACTTCAACTTCTCAGAAATGAAACCATGTTATAAAAGCAGGAATACGGAGTAAATCCCATCACAGAACCACCATTTCTTCTTTATATACTTTATAACTCAACAATTTTCATTACACTGTAATATATTAACTTTACTTAAAAAGAAACTAAAAAACCAAAAAACAAATACATAAGCTTACATTTACTAAAATAATATGCCAGATTCTGCAACTTATAATTATCAGAAATAAAGAAACTTTTATGTAACCATTTCAATGCACAAAAGAGAAAAAAGATGTGGACCATGCGGCTGCAACCAAAAATATTTAACAAGGATGACTAAAAATAATAAACACATTAATGTTCTAAATCTTTGTGTCACGAAACTAAACATATCAATGCTGACTGACTCAGTTGAGTGCAATTCCCTCTTGATACACAGAGAGCCAATCAGTCACAGGTTACTTTAAAGAATATAAACAAACAGTGAGGGAGACAGAAAATACCTCTGTCATCACGTCTGTTGAGCTTTGTTGTGCCTTTGGCAAGAAAGAAAAAGAGTGAAGGAGATTGCGTGACTAAGAAGGACGGAATATTCCTCCCTTTTCTGTGCTCCTGTTCTGTAAAGGGACGGCCTGCACTTTTTTCTTTTTTTCCCCCCTTCTCCTCCTGATCTCTTTCTCCCCCTGTTTTTTACCCTCAGGGCCCATGCATTGGTTGACTGACACTGCTGAAGCCCTAAAGCGAAACAGTTGTCCACCAGAATTCACTGAATACTGAAGACTGATACTGCTGATTTGCTCTGAGAAAGAAATGTAAAAAAACAAAAACAAAAAATAAACAAGGGGGGGGGGGTCTAAAAACACAAAAAATGAGCTAAGGGTTTTTATCAATAGACCCCTGGAAATGCCTTCTCAGGAAACAGACAGCTCATCGGCAGTCAGACAGTTTTGATGATCTAAGACGAGACAGAAGTGGCAGCAAGACTGGGTGGGTTTTTTTGGCCTTGTTTCCATAGAAACCATTGTTTTGCCCTCTTCCTTCCTGCCTTGCATTCCTACACACAATGCGATGAAAAGTAAATTGCCCCTTCCACAAAGCAGGTTTGAGTGGTACACTCGATGAAGATTCTGCCGACTGAAAGATGCACAAGGGGCTTGAAAAAACAACAACAAAAAAAGTACACAACCGCATCGAGTCAAGTGGAGCTGGAACTGCCCGAGTACGTTCACTCGCTGGTCATTTTTCTCGGGGCTGCGTGTTACCTGATACCAGGTAGACAGATTTTTATCTCTGGCACTCAGCAGTGCCGAGCCAGACAGCAAAGTATTTAAAGAGCAAAGAAATAACACCCACGAAGATTAGATGGAACTCCACTCCAACAAAGCCCCAGAGCACAGATGTGCTGTTGCCACCCTGATAATCCCTTAAAAGCAAAAATCCACACAGGATGTCACATGATCGTTGCCTCAATGCATGTTGTCTTACCTCACCTTTTTAATTGAGCATTACTGCACCTTTTATTATTGCCCTTGCTCAATTCGTGAATGGTGAGTGATTCGTAACCTCAGTTAATGCTACGCTTATCTCCCTCAGCTAAGAGGAAGGGCACGCTCTGTGCACTTTACAGTGCAAGCTAAAATACCCAGGTGCGTATCATAAAGACCAGCCCTCATGTCAACACTGCACAGAATAAATACAACATTTAGAGGGGGCATGTACTCACAGTTCTTCGAGATAGGGGAAGGTTTTGAATACGTATGCTGGAAGCTCAGTGATGTTGTTCATGCTCAGGTCACTGTGGAAACAGGAAAAAAATTTGTTTGAGTTCACCGATACATTTGCAAAGATCACTTTTCATTCATTCGAGACTCTTGTTTTTTTTTTAAGTTGCTTTCTTGGCTTGATTTTGCACTCATTTTCCAAGTGTTCACTTTTATGTTAATTATAATAGTTATCCCCTCATTTTCAACAGCTGTAAAGTATTCATTTAACCCTAGATTTAAATAGTAAAATACTCAAAATAAAGTTTTTCTTAGTTGCAAAATAACTTCCACGTGAAATCATCTGTCTATGAAGCCTGATTTTATCACATAAACTAAACATGCAGACAAGAGATATTACCGTGATGGAAGATTTTGATTGCCATTGCAGCCTATTTACACAAACAATAGGGTCGTTAGATCATTCGTCCCCAATGGCAGCTTTCTATCTTTGACTGTGCCTGCATGACTCTTCAACTTCCACCAAAAAAACCCTTGAAAAAGCCCTTCTCTTTAGCCGCAGGGATCTTCATTTTTCAAATCAACAAGTAAAGATAGGCATGTAGCAGCATGAAAAATATGCACAGAGGACTTGATTTGCTTCCCCATCAAACCTAAAGTGTGTGTGTGTGTGTGTGTGTGTGTGTGTGTGTGTGTGTGTGTGTGTGTGTGTGTGCGTGCGTGTGTGTAAGCCTGTGTTTACATATTAATAATAATAATAATATCTTTAAAAGTAAGACTCTATTGTGTTTAGAACTGGCGGTACAAAGTTTTCAGCTGGTGATGAAAAGTAAGCGTCTCCAAGAATAAAAGAGCGGAAAAGGGCGTCTTGGGGTTTACTGCGGATATCACGTCTGGGTGCCTACTCCTAATATGTAAAGAGACATCAATCCACAACAGAGACGGATAAAACATCCAGTATTCGTGAATGAAGCAACCCCCTACACCCTGCTCTCTCTCCCCTCTCACTCCTTTCACTCCCTGAGTGGCCATCTTGAATTTCACTGCCAGATCTCTCTTGGACCTTGTGTGTGGGCCCCTGAATCTTACAAGGATCATATTGCTCTTCCTCTGCAGACCCAGATACACACACACACACATACACAGCCAGGCAGACACACAAACACACACAAAAGCCTTAAAAGGCAGGCCCTGACAGAACCCTCATCATCCCTGCAACCTACAGCATGTCCCATCTCCATTTACCTGGTTATCCAGTTACCATATAGACTAAATAGACACAAACACACTTGTATCAACAGTCCTTATGGTTTTGTTCCTACACTGACAACATCTCAAGTGGTGTTTCCCAACCACGGCTGCAATGGTCAGATGGATACATCCTTAACCACATTTTTTAACCTTTTGACTAAATCATCCACGCAGACTGTTGAGTGGCCTAAACCACATGCCGTTCTGGGGAGTACAGGAGGCTTGAATGACTCTATCACACTTCCTTCCCTCCCACTGTGTCTGGCTGCTTTACTCATCAAGGTCCTGGCCTGTCCCTGCTAAGACAGATTGAAGAGGACACTAAAACTGCAGCTGTGATAAATGGTGACAAGCCTAAACGCTTCTACAAACAGGTATCTGCAAATTTCTATCCCGTGTGCCGTTTGGCTTCATTTTAGCAGCAAGGAAAGAGATAATCTGAGAAAGGTATGAGATGTGCTAAGAGAAGAGGAAAATATGGAGAGCTAAGGTGAAGCAGGGATATATATTCTTAAAGTCAAAACATAGGATCTTAAAAAAATGCAATCTAAATCTGCCAGATAAATTGGGTCAAGGCAAGCAAGCGCTTGCCATGTCACAAAAATACTACATATAAAACTGTGCTGAAAGGGTTGGCACCCACACAGACATTGTTTAAAATATTTAAAACATCTCTGAAACTTCTTACATTCAAAAGTAATTATAAAAAAAAACTACAACAACATAGCTATTTGTGACCTAGAACCAATTTCAGGCAATTTTTGGCATCTTTTTAAAATCATCAGATTAAGAAATTAAACAAAGCACAGGTCTGCAACCTGCAGCCTGTGGGTTCAAACTGAGTACAGGTATAAAAATTGCTAAATTACCACAAACACAGTCTTAACAGCAAGCTTACATGTCAGTACTTACACCTGATAACTACTGGGTGTACCTGTTGCTCAGCCCCTTTAACCACATGATTCATCTCTCTTGGGAAACAGTGTGACAAAATTTCAGAGAGAACAAGAGGACTTATAAGAAGAAGGAAATAAAAAAGCACTTGCGCTGATTCTCCAGAGAGCTAGCTGTCTGACCAAACCTAAACAGGAACCGTGAAAGGGCTTTAATTAGGGTCTGAGGCAAAGATGCCAAGAACTACTGTAAAATAAGTAGTAAGAGGTCATCGGTTCCTGTGGGACACTTCACCGGAAGAGAAAACAATCGCTGCAGTGCTTCACAAATCAAGCTTGCATGACAGGGCCAAAACACAAAAAAGGGGTTGTGTGAGGCACTTTTTATATGTTCCTAGGTCTCGGATTTTTCCAGATCTTGTGTTGTAAGAGCAAAAAAGTAAAACATACAGACTACTGGAGCACACTGTGCCACCTTTTTCCTCAGTCTGTAGATTGATGGCTGATCTATTGCATTCTCCGTGTGTAACACTTTCCACCAGTTAGATAAAGAAATGTACAATAAGCAGAAAATGGTAGAAACCTTAATAGAAATATTTGACTTTTTTAAAATAGTCATTCACTGGGTAAATATTTTTAAATTCAGATCTTTGTTTTTTCAAAATGTGGAAATATACTCTGCTTCAGTGCCTGATACCCTCATAACTTACTCACAGCAAAAGCTAAGCAATGCTTTCATGCCACACAATTACATAAAGAAGACATTAACTGCCCCAAAAACTGATTCAAATACACATGAGTATGGAAAAATTTCAACTGTGCTGCTAAAGGCTTGTCAGCTGGGATTGATCCCCATAGACTCGGCATTCTCGTGATGCCTCTAACAATCACAAATTTGAGTTATTGTTTTTGTTTGTGTGACAAACAAATTGCAGGACTTCTTGGTAAGTTCTTAAAGTCACCCAACAGCCACTGGCTTTCATGAACGACTATTTGTGGGCCTCAAAAAACACAAAACTATCCAGTAAAGAAGCAGAAATATAGCAACAGCCAGCAGCCCTCCAACCACAAGCGCACCTTACTCTGAGTCTACTTTGTTCAGTGAGGGGCTGAAAGAAGAGAGCAGCTTGCATGTGAGCAGTTGCCTGGCTAAAGGCCTCTGAAACCCTCCACTCCACTGAGCTGGACTAAGAATTAACTGAAAATTACAACTAGAGCAGGGCGATATAACCAAAAATATTTATCATGATATACATTTGAAAATTTGCAATAACGATATAACTGACGATATAATTGACACTAGACAAAATACTTTACAACTCCACAACTTTATTATTGCAAAAAAAACCCCCATCAATGTATTTACACTTAAACAAGCAGCTGTTTTTTATGTGCATTAAAGTTATATAAAAATTTAACAGTGCAAAATCAAATTCCTCACTGACAGTTTAACCAAAAGGCATTTCCAGTGAAAATTGGCTGACATATCGTGAGCATAACAATGTATAATATCCACAAAACTTAAAAAGAGGTTATACACACACACGCACAATATGGTAATATTATGTTGAAGCACAGTACGCATCACTCCGCGAGGCTCCTGCATAGAATAGCCGTAATGCTCCGACAATCCATCAAGTGGTGCAACTTCGTAGCTTAGCAAAGTCGTACTAAAACATTTGACAGATTTTCGAGCGCCGTGTACATAAAATCGTTTTGAGGTCAGTAAACACAACCAGAATTCATACATAAGGCACACGGGATTATAAGGGGCACTGTCGATTTTCAGAAAAATCAAAGGATTGATTTTAAGTGTGCGGTATTTTCCAAAAAAAAAAAAAAAACTAAGTAATGACGACGGCCCGCTAGCATGCTCTACCAAAAATAGTGCATTGTTGTGTATCTGATGGACGAAAGCTGCATGCAGACGTGGTCAAGGCCCCGACTATATTCTGGTGGCTGCTTCCAGAAGGATAACGTGCCGTGTCACAAAGCTCAGATCATCTCAAACTGGTTTGTTGAACATGGCAATGAGAACTCAAACACCCTCCACGGTCACCAGATCTCAACCCACTCCCGCAGGGATGTCAAACTCAGATTAAATTCTGGGCCACAATCTATACACTTTGATCTTATGTGGGCTGCAGAAGTAAAACTACAGTTTCTCTCACTGTGAATACGTTTTACTATACATTTAATCAATGAACTATACATTCAATCTTAATGTAAGAAGAGAAGAGCATTTTCAACATTATTTCACAGAATATATACGTGGTAAAGAAATGCTGCTGTGGTAAAAAGAAATTTGTCAGCATTACCTAAGCCACATGTGTCAAACTCAAGGCCCGCGGGCCAGATCATTTTATATAGATTTATTATTACTGTTATGCATGGCCCGGCAATATGAGGTGCTAATAACACACAAACAACAGATCCCATAATGCAGCGCTGCAGCCTCCTTTTCGAATGCTAGGCTACCCAGGAACATTCCCGCGTCAATCAAGTCAAACTTCTGTTATTGCAAAGCTAGCCCTCACAATGGTGAAGAGAAAAGTTGATTCTGAAAACAGAGCCTTTCAGCACCGGTGGGAGGCTGAATATATGTTTACAGACATTGCTGGTAAACCCGTGTGTCTTATTAGTGGAGCTAATGTGGCTGTAATTAAGGAATTTAATTTAAGACGGCACTACGAGAAAAAACGTCAGGATAAGCTGAAAAACCTAAATGCAAAGCAGAAACTACAGAAAGTAGAAGAGCTAAAGAAGAATCTGACATTTCAGCAGACGTTTTTCACCAGAGCAAAAATCACAAAGTGAAGCTGTTGTGAAAGCAAGTTTTATAGTAGCAGAGGAGATAGCCAAATCAGCCCGGCCATTTACCACTCTAAAGTGCTACATGATGACGGTGTGCGACGTCTTGAGTCCAGCCA